CCTCTCTCTCTCCTCTCTCCACTCTCTCTCTGTCCTCTCTCTCTCTCCCCCCTCTCTCTCAGTCTTTAGAATATGCCCCTGAGTTTAGGTCAGTTAATTACGCTCTCCCCCCCCCTCTCCCCCTCGTTTTTTTCTTGTACTTACTCTTTATCTCTTTCTCATAGTTGGGTGCATATACCCCTTGTTTCAGGCCGTCAATTGAGGCCTCTCTCTCTCTCTCTCTCTCTCTCTCTCATTGCTGACTAGTTTAATTGAAAGTTAGTCAAATACATACACTCTATCATTGGGTTCACTTAACCTCTCTCTCTTCTCTCTCTCTCTCTCTAGTGGGTTTCTGTCAGGCCATTGAATTGAGGTCAGAGAAAGTTTTTTCGTCCCCCACTTTAATTGTTGAAGAATACTAAAATGGCTAGGAAATTTGAGTGTGAAATTGATAAACCACATTTGGGTGGCATGAATTTTTCTTAGATGTCGACTTGACTAAAATATTACTGTAGTTATTTGGAAAATGTGAGGAAAACGACGACTGTGGTTTGTGTGTTGGTTGGAATTAGGCACAATCTGAGATTATTGATGGCGAAAGAGTTTTTATGAACAATTTCTATGTAGGTTTTTTTTTTGTAACCATGTGTTGCTGCTGAGATTGATTGAGATTTACTGAATTGTTTAAAACTCTCAAATTTTAGTCCAACTATGATAAAAAAAATTTGCTCCACTTGGATCCATTTCTCAAAATTTGGCTGAATATGTCTTTTGACTATTTATGCTTTGAAAAAGTGTCTAGTCTAATTTATTTATTTATCCTCCAAACTCTGGGTTACTGGGTCCTTATCTGCTTAATTCTAGCTGCAATCTGGCCATTTCTTTAACAAGAAGGCTGAATTTTTTCTATTTTTATAACAAAGAATAAATTCCTTTAGGTTGATCTCAATGGAATTTTTGGCTTTAACATTTGTGATTGGGGCCCTGATTTAAAATTTTCTTTTTGTTTTATTTCATTTGGAATTGGATGATTCGCTAGTTATGATGACATATTACAGAAGAGCGTTAATTCACAAATAATGGTGATGCTGCCATCATCTTTTTCATATATGGCATTATTGTCACTGTTTTGGGAAACACTCATTTATTTATTTATTTCTTTTGTGGTTATGGTGTGAAATATCAAAGTTACTTTGCGTCAGATGATCAAGCAGCCCATAATCTTTATATACAAGATTTTTTGAACTTACAGGGTCTTGAATGGTTTGCGCTCACTGCATTACCATTTGGGGTTTAATATGAAAACATGCAAGGGGAAAGTGCGATAGTTGAGTTGCCAACTCATATTTGGGTTATTTTCTCTCTATTTTAAACATTTTGCAGTTTACCATAGATGTATTGGTGTACAAATTACTGGTGATTTGAGGTTTGGTTACGTCTTTGAAATATTTGATGTGATTAGACAAGGGAAGCTTGCATTATGGGGGAGAAAAAAAATCATCTTCAAAATTTGCTCTTCTCATACTACAAAAATAATAGAATTAGCAGCATATAAATTATTTGAAATAATTAACAGATGTATAGTATATTAGTATCGGTACTAGTTGTTAATGTAAATTCTGGTTTATATTGTAGATTAGTTGGGCCAAACCATGTCACTTACTTAGCCATTGTCTGTGACTTGTCATTTGACTGGTTGGACTGAGCTATTGCCATCTAAGCCAAAGACATCAGGATGAGGTTTTTCTCTATTACAAATGAAGAATCTTTCTTCTTTAACTTTTTCTATTATGACGAGGTTATCCACAAATTAGCATGTGAAATTCCACATATTGCCCTTATGGTTTTAATCAGCATCATGGGTTCTACTCTAGTTGGATGAACTTTGTCCAATTTCAACGGCCGGAACTGGTATATGTGTGAAAATCGGGGAATTCAAATTCCTTTTAACTGAAGAATTGATCTTTTATATTCCTTCCTAATCAACCCTATATATATAGAGAGAGAGATTGGTTTTAACAACTAAAAAGAGATTAGTTTTAACAACTAATTTATGCATATAGTCAGTGTTTCTTTTCCTTCGACACTAACAAAAAGTGGACAATTTTTACTATTTGATTCAGTTCAACCTGTTTGGTATATTTTATTTATTCCAGTTGGGCAGTATTTATCCATACGTAGTGGGAATTACCAGTTTCAGCTAATGTTTGTGAGGCTGCACCATGGATGATGGGCTAATGCAGCACAATTTGTTTTGCTAGTTCCTGGTGAACCATATTCCATGCTTACAAATGCATCTCCTGCTCCTTCGCCATCAGTTATTACTTCTTCAGGTATCCTTTGTCCAAATTTTTGATGCCTTTATTCATGATTTTTCCTATGTATGAGTTCATTGATGCCCTCACTCTCTCACATGTAGTTATGATTATCAAAATTGGACATGAACTCTCTATACCTGGGGATATTCCCTATGGGGAAGTATACTGTTGTCCAGTGGGCTATGGAAAACCATAGTCCATTTGGGCCATGAGTATTTTATGTAATGATTGACAATGATGGAGAGTAGGAGCTACATTGGATCATTTACTAATCTAGTGGGTCCCACTCTCTCCATCACTGTCCATTTCATTGGAGGGTCACAAACCCAAATAGATTATGGCTATCAGTAGTCCAAGGATAGATGGCATGCTTCCTCACTTTCCTAATTAGTCATTTATGCTGTTTATGTTTTGACGCTTATCTAGTCTTTTTCTAATTTATCTCCATGGTGGATTTGCTTGGATGTGGTTATTTAGAAGAGAAATCTCAATTTTTGTATAACGTGTTTTTGCAGTGGTTTTCCAGCGTCGGTCTTCACATTTTCCATTGGGGTGGGCTTTGGCAATCATGGGGATTGGGCTGATTTTGGTCCTTGCGATTATTTTAATCTGCATCTCCTTCAAATTGTTGACTTGCCACTCTGAAATTCAGGCTGGGTCTGAAAAAGAAATTGACAGTAAGGATTCTCATAAGCTTCCCATTCTTCGGAGGACAAGTTTTTGTTATCCTTCAGGGAGGTACCTTTGCTGCAGGACTGAGAAACTGGCTGCTGGTGCTGCAAGCCATAGGCAGTTAAACATACCTAAAGGTTTTGTATGATATTTCAATCAATCCGTCTATAATCTATTTGTTTCCTTTTCATCAATTTTAAAACTTTTTGCAAGATCCATATGAAGAGATAGGAAAAGCAATTACTGATTGACCAACATTTTTTGCCATCTCATATTTTTATTAGAAAAGTTGCCATAAGATATTGAAAACAAGCTCCATTTTTGTTATTTATGACCAGGATTTTTCAACAGCCTGGTTGTTAGTTTGGTATTTTGTACTAAAGGAGCTAAACAATCCATTCATTCTATAACCTAGATTCTGACATCTGAAGTTATTAGGTTGTTTATTTGTTGAGGTGCCCAACATCAGTTAACTCATGCATCTCTATTTTCTCTTTTCTTTTTCTTCTTAATTGATTAAATTGTTAAAAAGGTCACTTTATGGAATACATTATTCAAATTGCATAAACAGATTGTGTGAATGCCTGACCCTTATCAGATTCGCTTTTGAGGCTTCTCTGTTTTGGCATGGAAAGGATGTGTTTCGGTGCTTTGGCCAATTCATGGCAAGACTTTTGTGCGTGTGTGTGTTAGTTAGCTAGTTAGTTATATTATTCTAGAATTCAACATTCTAATAGTGATTTTAGAAAAGTCTACTCCCAAAATTTGGACAGTGAGTTTCCCTTAAAATAAATAAAATTACATCAATGTATTCTTCCTTCTCAAATTAAAAAAGGGCATTTAATGTAATTGTTGATCCCTCCCTAAATTTACGTAGCCTTCCTTTCCACCGCCCTTTCTCATCACTCCATCTCCATATTTTGGCCTTCCATCTTCCTCTAGTGAGAACTCTCTCTCTCTATCAAGCATCCATCTTAAAGATGGATGCAAATAGGTGGTCCATCTAAAAACAGTTGAAACTAATGGTCCAAATGTTTTTTTAATATAATTATTATTTTATTTCTAGTTTTCTAAATTTATTTATTTATTCATATTCATGATCTCCATGTTAAAGATTATATATTAAAAAATAAATTTATTAAGTGGCCCGCATATCTACATGCGGGCTTGGCCGCATGCTAACCACGTCCATATATAT